AACACTCTCAAATTACCTTTAGCTTCTTAAACACATGGAATATAGTTATAATAAGCACTTCAATATCTTTGTCAATGCTGTCATTCATGCTACTTAAGAGTTAGTTTTTATTAGTGTTTTTCTTAATTAAGGTTTACATATCCTGCATCTTTGCTGCCTGGCAATTTTTAATTATAAATTGTACCTTGTTAAGTGGTGGATATTTTTGTATTCTTAACAACTGTTTTTGAGCTTTTTTCTAGAATGTGGTTTAGTTACTTAGAAACAGTTTGATCTTGTTGAGTATTGCCTTTAATCTTTGTTAGGTAGAGCTAGAGTAACTTTTATTCTAGGACTACTTTTTCTCTAATGAGGCAAAACCCTCTGAGTACTCTACGCAGTGCCCCATGAGTTAAAAGGTTTTCTGCTTTGAAGAGTGGAAATAGGATACTCCATGCTCCATGAGTCTTGTATATTGCTCCTCTAATCCTGTCAGGTGATTCTTTCCCACCTCCAAGGACTTTCCTCACATGAGTGCCCTGATCAGAACTCAGCTGAATATAGGAGGCAGATTTTTCTGCAGGACACACTCTGGAGTTCTTTTTCTGCACAGTTCTGTCTTCTCTCATACTGTGCTCTGTGAGGTCTAGCTACTATGGCCTACTTGAACTCCCAGCTTCATTTCTCCAATTTAGGGCCACTTGTGGGCTGTGCTAGGTTTGCCCTCTCTGCATAGTGGCCGGGAAACTCTCCAGGCAGGAACTTGGGGCAATTGTAGGACTCAGTTAATTTATTTCCCATCTCTCAGGTGTCACTTGTTCTTCATTGCCTAATGTCCAGTGTTTTGAAACCATTGTTGTACTTATTCTGTTTTTTCACTTGTTTTCAGTTCCTCTTATTCCATCTTGACCCCAGTTAAAAGTGCCAGGATTATATGTGAAAGGGTCAAGTTTGTATTTTATTTTATATTTATTTTTTAAATATGTATTTTAAATTTACATCCAAATTAGTTGACATATAGTGCAATAATGATTTCAGGAGGAGAATCCAGTGATTCATCCTCTGTGTGTGACACCCAGTGCTCATCCCAGCAAGTGTCCTCCCTAATGCCTCTTGTCCATTTAGCCCATCCCCCCACCCAAAACCCCTGCAGCAACCCTCAGTTCTCTATATTTAAGAGTCTTTTGTATTTTGTCCCCCCTCCCTGTTTTTATATTATTTTTGCTTCCCTTCCCTTATGTTCATCTGTTTTGTATCTTAAATTCCACACGAGTGAAGTCATATGATATTTGTCTTTCTCTAACTGACTAATTTCACTTATAATACACTCTAGTTCCATCCAATTTGTTGCAAATGGCAAGATTTCATTCTTTTTGATTGAGGAGTAATACTTCATTGTATCTATATACCACATATTTGTTTTTAAATGTTTATTTTTGAGAGAGAGAGAGAGAGAAACAGAGTGTGACCGGGGGAGGGGCAGAGAGAGGGACACAGAATCTGAAGCAGGCTCCAGGCTCTGAGCTGTCAGCACAGAGCCAAATGGCCCGATGTGGGGCTTGAACTCCTGAACTGCAAGATCATGACCTGAGCTGGAGTCCAATGCTTAACTGACTGAGCTGCCCAGGCACCCCTCTTCTTTATCCATTCATCTGTCGATGGACATTTGGGCTCTTTCCATACTTTGGTCATTGTCAATAGCACTGCTATAAACATTGGGGTGCATGTGCCCCTTCAAATCACCACTCCTGTATCCTTTGGTTAAATACCTAGTAGTGCAATTGCTGGCTAGTAGGGTAGTTCTATTTTTAATTTTTTGAGGAACCTCCATACTGTTTTCCAGAGTGCGGTGTTTTCTGCACCAGTTTGCATTCCCCCCAGCAGTGCAAAACAGTTCCTCTTTCTCCACATACTCGCCAATATCTGTTGTTGCCTGACTTGTTAATTTAACCATTCTTACAGGTGTGAGGTGGTATCTCTTTGTGGTTTTGATTTGTATTTCCCTGATGATGAGTGATGTTGAGCATTTTTTCATGGGTTGATTGGCCATCTGGATGTTTCTTTGGAGAAGTGTCTGTTCAGGTCTTTTGCCCATTTCTTCACTGGATTATTTGGTTTTTGGGTGTTGAGTTTGACAAGCGATTTATAGATTTTGTATACTAACCCTTTATCTGGTATGCCATTTGCAAATATCTTTTCCCATTCCATCAGTTGCGTTTTAGTTTTGCTGATTATTTCTGTATCCTGTGCTGTGGAGAAGATTTTTATCTTGATGTGGTACCAGTAGTTCATTTTTGTTTTTGTTTCCTTGGCCTTCAGAGACCCGTTAAGTTAGAAGTTGTTGCAGCCGAAGTCAAAGAGATTGCTGCCTGTATTCTCCTCTAGGATTTTGATGGCCTCTTGTCTTATGTTTAGGTCTTTCTTCCATTTTGAGTTTATTTTTGTGTGTGGTGTAAGAAAGTGGTCCAGGTTCATTTTTCTGCATGTTGCTGTCCCGTTCTCCCAGCACCATTAGCTAAAGAGACTTTTTTTCCATGGGATATTCTTTCCTGCTTTGTTAAAGATAAGTTGACCGTACGTTTGTGGGTCAATTTCTGAGATCTATTCTGTTCCATTGATCTGAGTGTCTGTTTTTGTGCCATTACCATACTGTCTTGATGATTACAGTGTTGTACTACAGCTTGAAGTTCGGGATGGTGATATCTCCTTCTTTGGTTTTCTTTTTCAAGATTGCTTTGGCTATTCGAGGGCTTTTCTGGTTGCATACAAATTTTAGAATTGTTTTTACTAGCTCTGTGAAGAATGGTGGTGTTATTTTGATAGGGATTGTTTTGAATGTGTAGATTGCTTTGTGTACTGTTGACATTTTAACAATATTTGTTCTTCCAAACCATGAGCATGGAATGTTTTTCCATTCTTTTGTGTGACTTCTTCAGTTTCTTTCATGAGCTTTGTATAGTTTTCATTGTATACATCTTTTATCTCTTTGGTTAGGTTTATTCCTAGATATTTTATGACTTTTGGTGCAGTTGTAAATGGGATCGTTTCCTTGATTTCTCGCTTCATTATTGGTGTATAGAAATGCAACCAATTTCTGTGCATTGATTTTATATCCTGCAACTTTGCTGAATTCATGTATCAGTTTTTCAGTGTAGTCTTTTGGATTTTCCACATAGAGTATTGTGTCATCTGTGAAGAGTGAAAGTTTGACTTCTTGCCAATTTTGATGCCTTTTGTTTCTTCGTGTTGTCTGATTGCTGAGGTAGGACTTTCAACACTATGTTGAATAACAGTGATGAGAGTGGACATCCTTATCATGTTCCTGACCTTAGGGGGTAAGCTCTCAGTTTTTCCCCACTGAGGGTGATATTAGTGGTGGGTTTTTTTTGTGTTGGCCCTTATGATCTTGAGGTATGATCCTTCTATCCCTACTTTCTTAAGGGTTTTTAATCAAGAAAGGATGCTGTATTTTGTCAAATGCTTTTCTGCATCAAATTTGTATTTTAAAAAATACATTTTAAAACTTAGATCTTACTATTCCATTACATGCTTTTCTGTAATGCCTCCTAGTTACTGAATTACTAAAGTTGACTGTTTTTGTTTGTTTAATCCATTTCTTAATCCCCAGTAATTTAACTGTTAAAATAAAAACAGACTTCCCCCAAGCAAAACTAAAAAATGAAAGAAGAAAAAAAAATAACAACCAGGTTTCTAAAGTATATGTTGTAGATTAAAAAGAAGTGAGCAAAACCTTTTTTTTTTTTTTTTTTTAAACCTCTTTGGTTTGTATTGCTGAGAGGCATTGCTATAGGGCTGGTGAGTAGAAACCTAAGATAATTCAGTCTGAGATGTGTCAAGGGAAGAACAACTGAACAGCAACAGTTTTATAAATAAGTATTTCCAGAGGTATTTATAACTTATTTTTTGTGTTCCAGATAATCCAGGAGAAGAAAGATGAGCTTCATCTATGGACTGCAATCTGCTACTAGAAACTGTGTTTTCTTCCGATTTCATTTGCTGACCAACTGGAGACTGTTTAACACACTAGCTGTCACCTCACCAGACTGCCATCAAGTACAAATTACTCATACAGTTAATAAGTATCAGGGTCTGGGAGTACAGCAGTGTGATAGGTTGACTTTTCTGCCTAAAAATTTTTATTCTTATAGGACTCTTAATACCAAAAGACCAGGATGCCTCTTGAGCGTGAGCCATAAAGAAATTTGGACGGTTACCCCAACATGTGGTGCATGGAATGACTCTTTTTCAAGACAGCTCCTGATAGAAGAAGTTGCAGGAGCTCCTTTTCTCTCAGTATTGCGTCCCCTAAAGTGTCTTCGCATGAGAGAGAGAGACATCAGGAGTTTCCACACTTCTCCTCGGTTTCAAGCCGCTCCGGTTCCTCTCTTGTTGATTATTCTTAAACCAGTGCAGAAACTATTTGCAATCATTGTAGGCAGGTAAAAAGCTTTAAAAAAAAACAAAAAACAAACAAAAAAAAACTTAAAAGGTATTTGTAAAACTATACTTTTAAAGAAAACTTGTTAGATTTCCCTCCCATATTTAGCTCAAAATTAAGTTTCCAAACGGTTGGTTCTACCCAGTTTTGTTAGAAATGATTTAATCTTGAAATAATTTACTACATATTATAGTATAAAAATGAGATCTTTAAAAAATTATATAGGACACTTTTTAAACGATCTTCTATTTTGATTACAAGAATGAGAAATGTTGGGTATAGTTTGTAAGAACAATACTTAAAAACATAACTTTTTATTTTACGAAATCTGAGGCAACGGGTCATGAAACTGGGAGTTCACTTATTTAAGAATAGGCTCATTCCTAGCCAAGTTAATGCTTAATTAGCATTTATTTTTCAGTTCTATTTCCATCACATCTTTGTTATTTTCTTTTGGGTAGTCCTTCATAATAATTATGTTTTCACAGCTAAATAGTACCTTTTATTTAATTTAAACCTCCCCCCATAATTAATCTTGTTTTCTCTTATTTGCTCCATGAAGAATGAATAAAGGTAAAGTTAAGCATTGTCTCGTCATTCTTACATTTGATGACTGTGTAGGCCTTTCTAGCTCTCTTACTCTCATACTAACCAACCCAGTTTTCTGTGATTTGACACTGGCACCCAGAAAATATACAGTTGTGTTAGCTCTAGTTGTAGGTAATGACTGTCAGAGAAGACCAGAGCTAGACAACAGTTAAAGCAGTAAACACAGATTTATGCAGAACTTTTGCAGTAGGGGAAGAGAGACCTAAGTATAGAACCAGAGTTAATCTGAATATACCATGGGCAAGTGGGAATTTATAGCTGAGAAGCAGGGTGGGGTTTGGTGGATAGAAAATTACTCAGACGAAGCATCAGGAATAAGTGGGGATTCTCCCTAACCTGACCCCACTAGGCTTCTTGCTGAAGGCAGGTGAATGTGATCAGACATCATCTGGAGGCTGGAGAATGATGAGGAACTCGATCAGGTATCGAGGGTGATAAGATTTGGAGGATGGGGAAATTCTGTTTAACCTGACTTAGCAGGATTCTTGCTAAACCTGGACAATGCAGAGATGAATACAGAAGTCCAGAAGTGAGGCCTAGTTGAAAAAAGTTCAGGGGAGCCTGAGTAGAGTCTGGTGCAAGAGAGGATCTTTGTCATAACTCAGCCCAGGGTCTTAGGCCAATGGCTCTTTCTCATCCTTTTTAATATTATTTTTAACTTTTTGTTGTTGTTTCCATTGTAATCACTTAACGTTTTCTTTTAAGCTGTGTTTTCATCATACATTGAAGGCAGATGATAAGTCATATGAAGTTTTAAATGGGAAATAAATATACTTCATAGTCTGGCCTAAGTCTTTTCAGGTTGGGACACTTTGAGGCATCTTAGGAGTGTCACTTAATAAAATTAAAATAACTTGAAGTTATTTTGTAAGATGGATTTTGTCAAGAGAATGATGTATATATCTTAAACTTTTGTTGTGATTTCACAGATGAACTCACTAGGAAAAATTTTGTCTTGTTGAAAACATTGCTTGTCAAAATGTCTGTGATCTCTGATAACCAGCAGGGAGTATTGTTGCCTGGTAGAAATTAGACCTCCATGTGTTAACTACACAGTCTCTCATTTTCTTGTTTACGATGTTTATGCCCTTATTACCTTTCCTTTATTATGTTCTTGAGGGGATAGTGAAGTTTCTGCTGGTGAGCAGTGTTTATTTCTAAAATCAATGCTGAGGTAGTTTCCCTTGTACCTTGCTGAAGTACTGGCAGATTGTGCTGGAAGTCTGATGAGCAGGGGGAGTGAATTGTGGTTACAGGTATAGATGATTGTGCTGTAACTCCTCAGATGTTTATTTGAACAGATCATCCCTATCAAGTAGTTAAGTACCCATACTCTAGGATCACATGGTCTTCCTTGCCTGGTTTTCCCTTATCACTTCTGCAACCTTGGACAAGTCCTTGGACAGTTCTCTCTGTCTCAGTTTTATCTTTGGTAACAGGGTTTTTGTGAAGATGAAGTGAGATGACATATGTATAACAATTAGAACAGCAGCTTGCATGAGGTAAACAGTCAATAAATGTTAACTAGTGGTAGTTGTAAAATAGCTACTCATTTAGTGTTCACCTTTAAAATAAGAAACTTTAAATGAGCTTTAGAATTTTTATAACTGGTTACTTTTTCATCATTCAGCTAAGAATTTTATAAATGGAGAAAACCCATCTATACAGAGAAATATTTCACAAAAATTCAAGTATTTGATGACATAGAATTCTAGTATAAGATTAAGTTTTGTTGATATGTGCTGATACTACTGTCAGAACTTTCAATTTTTCTTTCTGCTCTAGGGGCATAAGGAAATGGTGGCAGGCACTTCCTCCTAACAAGAAGGAACTATTTAAAGAAAGTTTACGGAAGAATAAATGGAAGTTATTCCTTTGTTTCAGTAGTTTTGGATTGCTCTTTGTAGTGTTTTATTTTACTCACCTGGAAGTGAGTCCTATCACAGGAAGGAATAAGCTACTATTATTGGGGAAAGAACATTTCAAACTTTTATCCGAACTGGAATATGAAGCAGTAAGTAGTAAGAATTGTTTATAATTAGATTGCTTAATATAATACTCAAAGCGGCAAAGTTTCTTAAGTATGAAAGATGCACTACTTTTTTATGTTAGTCATTGATAGAAAATTCGCATTTTCCCAAAAGGCCTCCAAAGTTTCATACTTCCTATTCCTGCTACCTACATTGCATTTCCTTTCATTCATCTAGCTAATTCCTGCTCATCACATTCCACCTTAAATGTCACTTTCTCAGGAAAGTCTTCCTTGATTATCCAGACTGGGTTAGGCAGGTTGGCTACATTATGCTCTAGTGGGAATCCTTCATACAGACTGAATTATGAATCAGCTCATTTATAATTGTGTCCAGTGCTTGGCTATATTGGGGTCAGGTCTCCTGCTTTTATTTTCTCTTTGCATACTGTACTTTTCCTTTAAATCACTTATCATGGAGGTAACATAATTGTTATTTGCATAATTATTTCTTTACTGATCTGTCTCCTTTGTTAGACTAAGCTCTTTGGGAACCAAGACCCTGTCTGTTTTTATCATTTTATATTAAGTACTAGCACAATGTAGAAGGTAGTGTTTAGTACATATTTTTTGGATAAGTAGATATGTAATATGAATTTTTGTACCTTGAAAGTAATGTAGAATACGGTAATTTTTTCCAAAACCTCATTTTTGGCAATTATATTTTTTGAATGCAAAATCAAGTTGGAATTCAGAAGCCTTAAGTCTTTTTTTTTTTTTTTTAATGTTTTTTATTTTTATCAAGAGAGTGCAAGCAGGGGAGGGGCAGAGAGAGAGGGAGAAAGAGAATCCCAAGCAGGCTCCGTGCTGCTAGCACAGAGCCTGTGATGGGGCTCAAACTCAGGAAACATGAGATTATGACCTGAGCTGAAATCAAAAGTTGGACGCTTAACTGACTGAGCCACCCAGGAGCCCCAAGAAGCCTTACTTCTTTAGAAAGTACAGTAACTCAGATAGTTAAACATTTTATACCACTAGTGAGTTTCTTGAGGACAGACTCTTTCTCCAGTTGTGAGCACACACCTAGTATATACTCGATGAGTATTTATTGAATTGATGTCTCATGGTCTCACTTGACCACTTTGGTGAAGTTTTTATGTCTTTTTATTTCAGTTAAGCTTCTGAGTTTGTCAGTGGAAAGTTACCTTAAAAAAGAAATAACAATGTTTTTTCACAAAAAAGATGCATCTTTTCTAGTAGAGCTTTTACAGAGATTGGAGATGTTTCTAGGGTAGTCTTGTCTGAAGCAGGTTTGAGGAGAGTGTTCTGGAAAGATTGAGATAGGCCTAGTGTTAAATTTGTGTATCTTCCACCATTCATCTCACTCAGAAGCTTTAAAAAATAATATATATGTACATAATATTCTTTTTTTTTAGCCTACAAATAAAATAACCTGCTTGATACTAAAATTCAAGCACATGTTCCTATAGGGATATGGTAAAGTACTATAATTATATATAATTTTGCTTGTTTTATTTCCTTCATATGGGTTAATAGTTGTTTCAGTTTATTTACATTGGTGACTTGTGCTTTTAAAAAATGGTATTGATATAAAGACTATTGCAGATTCAATTCTACAAAATCATGTTTTGTTTTTTTTGTTTTTTTTTAATTTTTTTTTCAACGTTTATTTATTTTTGGGACAGAGAGAGACAGAGCATGAACGGGGGAGGGGCAGAGAGAGAGGAAGACACAGAATCTGAAACAGGCTCCAGGCTCTGAGCCATCAGCCCAGAGCCTGACGCGGGGCTCGAACTCCCGGACCGCGAGATCGTGACCTGGCTGAAGTCGGACGCTTAACCGACTGCGCCATCCAGGCGCCCCCAAAATCATCTGTTTTTAATACATCTAAGGAAAGAAGATTCTAAACTTCTTGATCTATATGTGAACGAAGCTACACATTTTATGGAAATTAATGTGATATTTTCAGAACATCCTTAATTTTCCTATACTTGAAAGGGTTTCTCATGAATATAGCTTTAGAGAGTGTGTTCATACAGTGGCTAGTCCTACTCTACATGGTGTAGAGAAAATGACATGCCTGTTACTTCTAAAATTTGAGTAATTTCCTATCATTCTGTGAATAAAACACTTAAAATTAATGAAATGTCCTTTTTTTAAAAATGTTTTTAATGTTTATTCATTTTTGAGAGACAGAACAGAATTTGAGCTGGGGAGGGGCAGAGAGAGAGGGAGACAGAATCCAAAGCAGGCTCCAGGCTCCAGGCTCCAAACTGTCAGCATAGAGCCCGACGCGGGGCTCAGACTCACTGACCTCAAGATCATGACCTGAGCCGAAGTTGGATTCCTAACCAACTGAGCCACCCAGGTGTCCCCAAAATGTCCTTTTCTTTTTAGAAGTTTAACTTTTTTAATTAAGTATAGGGTGTTTTTCTAGTCAGTGGGTTATGAAAGTAATTTTCTTTTATATTGTTCTTCCTTATATGAAATCTTTGTTTCCTAGGCAGTATTTTGTTTTCTAAAATATTTAGGAAAGTAGAAATAATATTTAAACATTTTATTTGTTTATAGGCTAATAGAAAAGATGAAAGTTTTACTTCAACCAATTTATATGAAAAATCTTAGTTATTAGAATTTATTCCATTTGTGAGAAAGCACATTGCCTTTGCATGAATAATTCAAATTTAAGAATTGAAGTGTTTTGTATATGTAGATTTTTACATAATTAAAAATTAAAATGTTCAACAGTAAGTAGCCATTTAACTCTTCATGAAGCAATATAAACATTTTGCTGAGCTAAAACTCTCTTAAAATAAAGATGACTTTTTAATCTTTCAGTGGATGGAAGAGTTTAAAAATGATATGCTAACTGAGAAGGATGCCCGATACCTAATGGTTAAAGAAGTGGTTTATCATTTGATTGAGTGCAATAAAGATATTCCAGGGATCTCTGAGATCAGTTGGACTATTCATGTGGTTGATTCCCCAGATATAAATGCCTTTGTGCTTCCAGTAAGTAAATGTTCTCCCATCTAACTTTAAATCGTAAATTTAATATCCTTGTTTTTTTAAGGTGTTCCAATTACTTACATTATTTTCTTTATGGTGCAGAATGGACAAGTGTTTATCTTCACTGGGCTTTTAAATAGTGTAACTGATATTCATCAACTTTCCTTTCTTCTGGGCCATGAAATAGCACATGCAGTACTTGGGCATGCTGTAAGTACCTAGGATGAATGTTCAGTTGTTGAAATAACTGCTTTGAAGTGTGCAAGTTAAATCTTATAAAACTGAATCTTTTCAGTTTTCTTTTTCTTTAAAAGATGGTATTTTAGTTTTTAGCAGTTGACTTACTCTGTTACCTGAAAAAATATGACTGGCTAATTTTGAGAATTTTTATGGTCTTTAGTATTTGATACCTGAATAATTAGTGTTTCTGTTAAGTACTATTTTTATCAGCTGTCTCTTTTGCTAAAAAGTAATTATTCTCAACCTCTAATTATTTCAAATTAGATTTTAAACTCTCCATAATTATTAACATACTTGTAATCTAGTCTGAAAGTTAACTATATGAAAGTGATATTACTATTTAAGTGGGTAAATCAGTTTTCTTGCTTTTTTATTCATTCTCAGAAGATGGCTTGGAGCATCTCTGAAAATCTCTAGAATGATATGCCATATATAATTAATGCAGAGTAATAATAATGATACCTTGCCATTTTACAGTTTGCTGAGCTTTTAAATACATACCTTCTCAATTATAATTTTAATACCATCCTCATTAAGTATGTATTTAATATCCCTACATTATATATGAGGAAACTAATGTTTAAAAAGACTTGGAGTAACATGAGTAATGTGGTCAACTGGCCAATTGGGACTTTAACCCAGGTCTTCTGTTTGCAAATCCAGCCCTGCTTTCTTTCACCACAGTTACCTGGGTATTGGCAGCCTTTTTTTTAATGGATCATAGAATTCAGGTTGATTTACGGTTCTGTGAATACACATCTGTTTGACTTGGTATGAGTACAAAAAGCTAATGTGTTTGTTTATTCATATATTTATTTTTATTAAAAATAAGTATATTTCTTTTGTCCACATTAACTAGAGAGAGGTGTATTTTCTGTTGAAAACATGAAGGTAAATAGTGAAAGGATTGTGAAATGTTATGTCAGAAATGTAAGTAATATTAACTTTAAATGGAAATGCTAGTGTTATTAATCTCCTTAAAAGTCATTTCAAATTCTGTCTATTCCTTAAAGTACTAATAAGTTGAGGTGGGTCACAGTTGTGCTTTTCTGAAGCACAAACAGTAATTATCTCATTTATTTCTTCTGAATTATAGAAAAATATAAAAAAACATTTTCCTTAAATAGATCTATATAAGAATAAATCTAAGCAATCGAAAAAGCTTGTCTTTCAAGAAAAGACTTCATAACTGCAAAATCAGTTTTGGCCAATTTTAGCATTTAAAAGATACTCATTTTACATACACCTTTATTTTTCTGGCCTCTAGTTCACTGTCTCATTCAGCATATTGTCATCTCTGTCAGTGCAGAACACTAATTAGATAAGATATAAAAAGAAAATAACAGTCTTAAAAATTGAAAGTAGTTATTAATATTTCTTTGTAGAGGCCTTAGACATCATCAGCACTATATTTTCTCTTTTAGCAGTCTCCATGTTTTCTTCCTTCCACAAATACATATTTAAAATTTTTTTTTTAGTTTTCTAAGACTATGTAATGGGTAATTATATTCTTTAATAATTAATAATAAGGATTTTCTCTTTTATAATGACTTCATCATTTGTAGTGTTATTCTTTTGTGCTAAAATAATTCCATAATTGTTTTTCATGACACACAGTTTGTATAATGAAGCAAAGAATGCTTTGTGAGGACAGATTATATTGTTACGAGAAGTGTTCCGTGTGATTGTTTTTAGTTGTCAGCCATGTTTCATACATTCAAGTAATGATTCCTGTATTAGCATTTATTAATCATCTTTAATGGGGAATGTGAACAATCCGGTGCGTTAAACTTGTATTTAGAAATTATTACTTAAAACAACTATTTTAAGTAAAATTGGTTAGTGCTATAAACATAAAACTTTATAGAACTCAATTTCCTAGTGAGAAATACCAGAGTGGTAAAATTGCAAACTTGCATAAATGAATCATACTTCATATATTAGGTCATGAAGTCCAGAAGTTTTTTACTAAAAATAAATTTCCAGTCTTTTTCTGAATTTTTCTTGTTTTAGCTATTTCATATGTTAAGCAGTGTTTAGTCTATCCAAAGGTATAAGGTATAAGCATAATGAGCACATTTATTTCCTTTAAAAAAATTTTAACAATAACATTAGAAACTAAAACTTCTGGGTTTGATTCCTTGTCCTTTTACTAATAGCTGTGTGAATTTTGGCACCTCTTTTAGTTTCTCCCATCTTAGTTTCTTTATAAAAGAGGGATAATTGTACCTATCTCACAAGATTATTATGCTTGTTAATATAAGAACTATAGGTTAGTGAACTTCTATTCATATCTATGAACCTGTCATTGTATCTGAGTGATAGTAAGTGGTTCAGTGCATGTTAGTTGAATGAATGTTTATACCTGTAAGCAAGGGATGGAAAGAAAAACACACAGAAGAAAAAGAACATGTGATCTTTGTTGGTGAAGGTAAGTTTAAACATGTAATTATTTAATGTGATTACACATCATGAACTAGAAAATCTAAGGTTACACTGTCTTAATTTATTAAATGTAATTTTCATTATTTTGATTATTCTCAGGCAGAAAAGGCTAGCTTGGTTCACTTACTGGATTTCCTAGGTATGATTTTTCTCACAATGATTTGGGCTGTTTGTCCTCGAGATAGTTTTGCACTCTTGGGCCAGTGGATACAGTCTAAACTGCAGGAGGTAAGTGTGAGACAATAAGTTGGATTTTTAAAGGTATGTGGTGAGGATATTTTAAAGATTACTATAAAGTAACAGATACAAGAGATGTTTTCACGTATCATGAAATATAGCTACTAATTTTTAGTCATATGTTTTCTCATTTTTAGGGGACATTCTTAAAAATGAGCATTCAAATTAGAAAATACTACATCTTTTAAATGATGGAGATAGATGGGTTTCAAGGGCATAGCAATTTTTGGCTAACATAATATTTAGGGGCAGAGTGTTCTATAGTTATTGGTCTTAGAGAAAACCCGGTCACAGATCCTTTCTTTCCTTTTGTCACTTTACCTTCAAACTTTTCACTTTTGTCTCTCATAGTGACTGTGGTACACTTTCTGGATGACTCTCCCTTCTCCCAAACGTTTGCATTTTGATGTAGAACTCTTAAAACCTGTAAATTTTTATGGGCACAGAATTAGCTAAAACTGCTTTACCATCCTCATCCTCTTACTCCCAGTTATACTAAGATTACCTGCATAATAGTGAAAGGATAATCTTACTAGGTGTTTGTTCACTTTCATTTCTAATACTTATGTATAATGGTGTTCATGTCATAAAATTTACTGAGGCCCGCATTTTGTTCAAAACACTTCACTACTGAAAGTAGGTCTTGCAGTTTTGATAATTGCTTTGTTAACTATTATTAATTATTTTATTTTACATCTTTCTTCACATGTTTCCTCTTGTCCTGGGAGGTTTGGTTATTCAGGAACAATCTGTTATTTGTTTATTTAATGATTTGTGGAGCACCATCATTGTGCCATCTGGGTACTGTTTAAATCTAACGTGTAAAATTCTTTGAGACAAATTGCTTTTGAAATTGGATAACTAAGTCTTTTATTCAGTGTTACCATATCATTTGGCTGCATTTATATTGAAATAAAGGCTCTTAAAGGGGAAAAAAAAGAATGGTTATTGCTTAGGTTATAGGATTTCATATTTTGAATTTTATTTCCGTTATGTGTCGGGAAGTCAAAGGAGTTAATGTAGTGTTTACCCCATTTATCAATACATCACTTTTTTCTGTATTGGAATCTGAAGATATTGTTATAGGAAATATAACCTGTGGCTGTTTTTTCTTTAAAATAGTTGATGAAGGGGTGCCTGTGTGCCTCAGTGGGTTGAGCATCGACTCCTGATCTCAGCTCAGGTCATGATCTCACAGTTCAAAGTTCAAGCTTCAGGTCAGGTTTTGTGCTGATGGCTTGGAGCCTGCCTTCGATTTTATCTTTCCTTCTCTCTGCCCCACCCCACTTGTGCTCTCTCTGAAAAAAAATTAAAAAAAACCTTGATGAATCCTGCTACTTCATATACTAATTAATAATTAAACTAAAAATAAAGTGATTACTTCTCTTTGAACTTTTCTTCCTTAAATCAAGCCCCACCCCCACCCCCATGATTTTGGTGATGGGGAAATGTTTCTTTCTCTAGAAAGCCTTGTTCCTTGTGATTGAAGAGCAGGAGGGGATGCTGATAGTGAATCATTAAAGAGGGGGAATTGCTGACATTTATTTGCCAGAAAAAGGAAGAGATGAAGGAAGAAGGAGGGGCCTTTACATAACCAACCATTGGGGAGTCCTCTATTTTTGTAATTTTAAAAGATTTAGGTATAATGTAGCAGCCGTCATAGCGTGCTACCAGGTATTAATTAGTAGTAATTACAATAGCTAATATTTATTGAGTACTTACTATATGTTAGGCATTAGGATAAGCACTATAATTATGTACAGAGGTTAAGAATACAGGCTGTGAACAGATGGACTTGTGTTTGAATTTAGGCTGTTAGACCTAAGTTCTATACTGGGCAGATTACTTCACTAATTATAGGTCTCAGTTTCTTCATCTATAAATGGGCATAATACTGGCTACTCAAAGCACTGTTGTTGGTTTAATGATACATTTAAAATAGGACCTATTTTTTGTTTAAGTTTTTATTCATTTTGAGAGGACAGGGGAGGTGCAGAGCGCGAGAGAGAATCCCAAGCAGATTCCACAGGGTCAGTGAGAATCCCAATGCAGGGCTTGAACCCACGAACCTTGAGATCATGACCTGAGCCAGAATCGAGAGTCGGATTTACGCTTAACTGACTGAGCCATCCAGGCATCCCTAAAGTAGGATCTCTTAATCTAAACACTGACATTTTGGACTGGATAATTCTTTGTTGTGAGGAATTGTCCTGTGCATTGCAGGATGTTCAGTAGCCTCTAAACATCTACTGTAAATATCTGACCTCTACCCACTAGATGCCAGTAGCACTCCCCCTGCCCAACAGTTGTGATGATCATAAATGTCTCCAAACATTTTTATATGTCCCTGGGGGACAAAATCGCATCCAGTTGAGAACCAGTGATTTAAAGCACTTAGCACGGTACCTACCTAGTACAAAATGAGGACTCAATAAATAGGAGTTATTATCATTTGCTCATTTTATCCTGTCTGCAACTCTAGGAGGTTGGTCCTGTGCTACTCCATTTTACATATGATGCTACTGGGCTTAGATGGGTTAAACAATTAGCTGAGGGTTAACAGTTAATAAGTGTCAGCATTTGGACTTAATGTAAGTTTCCATCCTTAAAAAAAAAAAGCCAATGTTTTAAACCAGTTATACTATCAGTAGACTTGATGGACCCCTGTAGACTGCTCATTGAGAGTGAAGACACTATATAATATAGTTCAACAACCTAAAAAGTCATGATCGAGAAGGAAGAAAGTCCTATCTCATGGTTATATACTAGATTGATTATATTATTTCTAGACATCACTGACATGTAGCTACCTCTGTGAAATTGTTTCCCCTATTAATAACTCTGTTCTCAAAAGTCCTGCTTATTGATCCATCTCCTACAAATTTTAGTACTTACTGAAAATTAGAATTTAACTGGAAAGCATTCACATAAATACAAGTAATTAGGGAAGTTAAAGTTACGATATCTATTTGTATTTTTTTATTGAAGTTGGAAGAAAATTTCATTTTCCTAACTAATCAATACTTAGAAAGACGGAGTTAAGATAATTTATCAAAGAAGGAAAATTCTGCTCTCTGGTTAATTTTCTAACTGAAATAAATTCTCTAGTAGTGTCAGTGGTTATTACATAGCCATATTTTTTCAATTTTCTTTTAAAACTGCAAGGTCAGAATGTTCCTTGGCCATAATAAAAGCTTGCGTTAAGAAGCTTTCTTAGGAAATCCTCTCCTTTCTTAAAATTCATGTTATGTCACTTCACTTTTAGGCTTTTTCATAAAAGCAAACATACTCTTTGGATTTCTTTTGGTTAGTGAGAACACGTTCTAATGTAGGTCTTTTTTAAAAGCAAAGTAGCATAAGGCAAACTTTTGAAAGAGGGGTATACCTGTATAGTAGTAACCCCTCCCCCAATATTATCCATAGGGCTGAGGGAGGGTGGGATATATTCCCACCACTGGTTTCCTAAAGCCTCAGATAGTACCATATCCTATTTACAGTATGGGTTTTTTTCTGTACATACATACCTATGATAAAAGTTTGTAAGTTAAGCACAGTAAGAGATGAATTGTTCTATAAATAGAACTATTATAATATACTGTAAAAACAAGTTACAGGAGTGTGGCCTTCTCAAAGTATCTTGCTGTACTGTATTCACCATCTTGTGATAATGTGAGATGATAAAATGCCTATGTGGTGAGATAAAGTGATGTGAACAATGTAGGCACTGTGACGTGGTGTTAGGCTGCTATAGACCTCTGACAGTATGTCTGGAGAACCATCTGCTTCCAGATCACAGTTGAGCGGGTATCTCCAACCGTGGAAATTGAAACTGTGGGTAAGGGAGACTACTGTACTCTATAAAATACTATAGACTCTCTAGAAGTCTGTAGGCCTAATTTTTTATGTTTTTAAAATATTAATATCTGATGGAGGAAATAAAGACTGTACTTTATGTTTTATACCATGGTGTTCTTTCTTTCTTTTTCTTTTTTTTTTTTTTTTAATGTTTATTTATTTAAGAGAGAGAGAGGCAAGCGAGCACAAGGAAAGGGCAGAGCAAGAATCTCAAGCAGGCCCAGCACTGTCAGTACAAAGCCTGAGGCAGGGCTTAAACTCACAAACTGTGAGATCATGACCTGAGCCGAAATCAAGAGTTGGATGCTTACCAGCTGAGCCACCTAGGCGCCCCACCATGGTGTTCTTTAAGTGTCAGTCATCGCGAGCATAAAACCTTTATCCTAGATACTCCATGAAATTAATTTTTAAAATCTCACTTTGTTACTTATTTTGTTGTGAAATGATAAATATCCTTAATGAAACTTCTCCTTCTTACTTCTTCTTAGTATATGTTTGATAGACCATACAGTAGAACTTTGGAGGCTGAAGCTGACAAAATTGGACTACAGCTTGCTGCAAAGGTAAAATGTTTAGTAGTTGAGACTACACAGTGTCCTTCACACAGTAAAGGATAAATACACATTGTCTTAATGAGCTGTGGTATGAGGAGAGAATGAGAGCTGTATGAAATTTTTCATTAATACCTTTTAAATTTGTGCCCTCTGTAAACTGATACACTATCTTTATTTCACTATTCTCCCTTGTTTCACTGATCTAAGAAGGCTTGAGTAAAATAACGTAAGACTATTTTTCCTCCCCTCAGAGAAAGGTTTGTGCGATTGTAGCTATGATCCCAGATGAGCAGATTGAATTTTTACCTTTTAAATAAATGGTAGAGGAGCAGACTTATTACTCTGTGTCTTTGAGATTATTTTTGTTGCAGCCAATGACTTACATTTGCTAGGCACAGAGAGCAGCCCTGGGCCTTTACTATGATTTAGGTTGGCTTTGTTCATGTCTCCTTTACAGGGCACTTCATGTCTGGCTCCTATTTTTATCATCTGTGATAACTGATATTATTAGTAGTAGAATTTAATATTAGAAGTAAAACTGCATTTTTAAAGCGGAGTAAAAACAATGCCACTTTGTACATTAAATTCAAATTGTATTTGATCTTTGTTGAGTTTCCAGTAGTTATTAAAAAGTCCTAGGTATAAAAATAAACTATTATATGAACTTCTAGTTAGTTTTATGGATTTAATTTCATAAATGAAGATACTACTATTCACAAAAGCAAAAGTAGTTATTTGAATGTTACGTAATAAGACTTAAGTGAATTCTCTGACTACATAGATTAAGAGGTTCCCAAATAGTGGACCACAGATTGGCTATAAAGGTAAGAGTGTTTTGTGTTCTGGTTAAGAAATCTTGGCCTATTTCAATAAATTGTTCCTGTTTTATTTCCAAGAAGCTTATTGTTTTATTAGCTTTTTAAAATATAAAATGAGGAAGAAGTCAAGATAATTTTTTTCCAATGTGGATATCTAATAGCCTCAGGACTGTTTATTGAAGAGTTATCTTTTTCCACTATTCTTGAGTGTCTCTTTGTCATAAATGTGGGAGGCTATATAGGAGTCTATTTCTGGACTCCCTATTGTATTCTCTTGGCCTCTTAATCTGTCTCTGAGCCAATACTGCATTGTCATGTAGCTTTGTAGTAAGACATGATACCTGGTAACTTCTGTCTTCCAGTGTGGTTCTGCAAGATTGATTTGGCTATTCTTAGTCCTTTTCCTTTCCATATACATTTCAGAATCACTTTATCAAATTACATGCCTGTATAAAAATACGCTTGGAATTTTGATGGCAATTGGGTGAATTTGGAGATAGTTGACTACTGTCAAAAATATTGAGTCTTCCTGGGAAGTGTGGGTGGCTCAGCTGGTTGAGCATCCCACTCTGGATTTCAGCTCAGGTCATGATCTCAGGGGCATGCAATTGAGTCCCACATCAGGCTCTACACTGACAGAATGGAGCTTACGTGGGATTCTCTTTCTCCCTCTCTCTCTGCTCCTTCCCCGTGCTCTCTCTCTCAAAATAAATAAACACTGAAAAAATAATATTAAATCTTCCAATCCATGAATGATATATTTGTCCATTTATATGGATATTCTTATAATTTTAGTGATGTTTCTAAATGTTTGTGTGTGTATGTGTATAGGAATTATACATCTTTTGTTAGATTTATTGCTAAATATTTGACATTTTAATTGTAAAGTGTTATTTAAAAAATAAACTTCTTCATATATAGAAATGCACTTTATTTTTATAAATGACCTTGGATCTAAAAACCTTGCTAAATCCACTTAATTCTGATAGTGTGTAGATTCTTTTAGATTTTATATATACACATTTATGCTGCCTGTGAATAATGACAGATTTAGTTCTTCCTTTCCGGTCTGTGTACTTTCTGTTTTTGTTTTTTTGGTTTTTTTTACCTTATTGCAATGGCCGGAAACTTTAGTACAATGTTGACGGTGAGCACCTTTGTTTCTTCATCACCATTTTTCACCATTCTGATGTCTAAGTTGTTTTTCTTTTAATCTGACTTTTTAGAAGAGTTTCCCTGCTATTTCTAATATGCTAAGAGATTTTTTAAAATTATGAATAACAAATTTTATCAAATACATTTTTTATATTGATTATATCATTTTTCTCCTTTAATCTCTTAATGTGGCAAACTATATTGATTTTTTTTTACGCACTAGGACAACTTTTATTTTTGAAGTAAACCCAATTTTATCAATAATATTGTTCTTCCAATATATTACTGAAGTTGGCTTGCTAATGTTTAGCTTAGAGTTTAGAGTGTTTTATCTGTATTCATAAAAGATAATGGCTTGGCCTTTTCTTTTCTTGTAATGTCCTGTCAGGTTTTAGTATCAAGATTATGTTGGCCTCATATAATGAGTTGGGAAGTGGTTTTTTTTCTTTTCTCTGGAAGAGTTTGTGTAACGTTAGTGATATTTATTTTTTAAATGTTTGGAGATTTTGTCGGTAGAAACCATACAGATTTATTTTTTTTTAAGTTTATTTATTTTGAGAGAGAGAGAAAGAGAGCAAGTGAGTGGGGAAGGGAAGAGAGAAAGAGGGAGAGAGAATCCCAAGCAGGCTCTGCACTGACTATGTGTAGCCTGACACAGGGCTCTAACTCACAACTGCGAGATCATGACCTGAGCCAAGATCAAGAGTCAGACTCTTAACCAACTGAGCCACCTAGGTGCCCTGGGCCTACAGGTTTCTTTGTGGGATGGCCTTTAGTTGTAGATTCAGTCTCTAATAGATATAGAGCTACTCACATTTTTCTGTTTTGTGTCAGTTTTTATAAGTTTTGTTTTTCTAGGAACTTCTGTTTTGTTTAAATTTTCAACATTATTATGAAGTTTTCTAATATACATATATATTTGTGTTTTGTATTTTTTATTGAAGTATAGTTGACACAATATTACATTAGTTTAATGTATACAAGACAGAAGTTCTACAACTCTGTATTTTATGTTCACTGTACGTGTAGCTCCATCTGTCACCATGCGATGCTGTCACAGTACCATTGACTATATTCTCTGGTATATCTTTCATTCTGTGACTTATTCATTCCATAACTGTAAGCCTGTTTCTCCTGCTCCTTCATCTATTTTGCCTGTCCCCTCACCCCTCTCTGCTGCCAGCCATCAGTTTGTTACCTTTACCATATATGTA